CCCTGTCTGTGCGGCCGGGCCCCTGGCTGTCTCAGGCCCCTGTCTGTGCGGCCGGGCCCCTGGCTGTCTCGGGCCCTCAGTCCATGACCGATGTGCCCGAGTGGTCAGTCCGCCCCTGCCTCAGTCCAAGACCGATGTGCCCGAGTGGTCAGTCCGCCCCTGCCTCGGTCCATGACCGATGTGCCCGAGTGGTCAGTCCGCCCCTGCCTCGGTCCAAGACCGATGTGCCCGAGTGGTCAGTCCGCCCCTGCCTCGGTCCATGACCGATGTGCCCGAGTGGTCAGTCCGCCCCTGGGGATAAGTGGATGGAATACTAAAAATCTTGGCCTGTGTCCGTTTCCTTTAGAAATCGAAATCAATATTTCAAATAGTGTCCGAAAGCCTCTCCCGAGGTGATTAGCAGAACGCAATTACCAGTAACAAGGGCAATAGGGAAGCAATCTAGACTTTGCCTCCACCTTCCTGCCCCCTGTTTTTCCCATAGTTTTTTCTTCAATGTAATAACAGAGGGAATTTTCTTACCCGGAGCCTCGGAGTGTTTGTTGTACGCTCCTTCGATGGAATCCGGATGTTTGTTTATTGTTGATCTTTAAAGCTGACCTTTCAAGGAAGGGATTAGGTACTGGAAAACCGTGTCTTAAAGGTACGCGTTCAGAGCTATTTACTGCTGGCAATTCAGAGTGGATTTTCAAAATGTAGGCAAAAAAGCCAAATTAGTTATTTGTTATTTCTGTTTTTACTTTCTCTATTTTGGCCTTAAATTTTAAATTAATTTTGAATTTGGATTCTGCAGAAGTAACTTTTTCTTAGTTTTTTGTATTTGGGGCTGATGTGTACTATAGTCATTGCTGTTGCCCAGGAGTAGTGGGAGTTAGAGCGCAGGGCTTAGTTTGTAATTTCATGTGTCACACTGCAGGGTGGGTCTTCAGAACATGTAAAACCAGGTCTGCATTTTTCTTTCCTTGATTGGTTATTTTTTCAAAGAGAAATATTTTCTATAATTTTATTGAATATTCACAATAAAGGATCATTTTGCTTTATTTTCTTTCTGGTGGTCTCTGTGTTGTGCTGGTCCTTAATTATGCAGATAATACACAAGAAAATCTGAATAAAATAAAGACCTATTTCAATGTAATGTGTCTAACGGAGAATTCATCACGGCTCGAGCATGTTTCTAGTAAAAATTATGTTTCCCCATCATTACCTCGCAGGTAAGTAGGAATTCTGCTCCTTCAAGTACCAGGGAATGTGCAAATGCTTTCCGCATTTCATGTTAATATAAGCTGAACGTGGCTGTAAACATAGTAGGCATTGTAACTTTCCAAGACACCATTAAACCTGTACATGGGGGGCACTGTTATATTCAGGAGACATCGCTGAATACAAATATGTGTATTTTATTGCAGTAAAATCTGACAGTATTATGACATTCACAGTTAAATTGACATGCTGGACTAAGAATATAGTAAAATGTGTTAATTTCTCGCACTTTTTAAGATTTTATTTGTTTTAACTTATTTTTCATATATGAATATTTGATGTAAAAAGAAACCCCTTTTTGTCCTCAACAAAATCATATAACATAAGTATGTGAGCACTTAGCATGAAAGAGGTGAATTAGGGTTTGACAGACATATAGAGCAAATTAAAGGTTTTGTTTTGATCAGAACGAGTATAACTACCTCTGTCCTTAAACTACAATAAATGTGTTTAGAAATCAGTCTCTGTAGATATTGTCTATAATACTTTTTAGTTGCATAAATGATTATTAGTAAGTCGCGTATAATTTAGAATGTAGAACAGCCCACCCCTGGCACATCCCCTTCCCAACCCCTAAAATTAAAGTGTCCCTCTTGGCCCAGTTGCCATGTTTGGAGGTATTGGATACATATTAAAGAGTTATTGTATGCTATGTGACGGACATTTTGACTTTTCATATCCATTTTTCTGTCTGTTTCCAGGGCCACCTTCAGGGCATGACAACCAGGACGGTTGTCATGGGCCCGGCAGTCCAGTGGGGCCCGGACTGCTCTGGGAGTTCCGGGCCCCACATTACCTAGGTAAACTTATATATAATGATTTTCACTATATATATATATATATATACATATATATATATATATATGTATATGTGTACCTGCGGGCCCCTGGCTACCTGTTTGTTGCAGAGGGGGCCCGCCGCACACGCTCACTTCTCTTCCCAGCAGCTTCCCTGTCTAAATCTCTCAAGCGTTGCAACAGGTTAACATGGCAACGCTCTGTGCGGCACATAGGCCACGAGAGTTAGACAGGGAAGCTGCTGGGAAGGGAAGAGAGAGTGTGCGGCGGGCGCCCACTGCAGAGCCCGTGGCTCAGAGTACCAAGCCACCGGACCACTGGTCTCACTACCCTCCCCAGCCAGGTAAGAAGCAGGGAGGGGGAAGTAAAATAAAATGTTAAAAAATTAAATATTTAAAAAAATTTTTTTTCAAAAATGAAAATGCTCTCTGCCCAATTTTACACACATTACATACCTACACAAACACACACTACATCCACTATACACACACACTACATGCACTACACAAACACACACTACATCCACTATACACACACACTACATGCACTACACAAACACACACTCCACATTCACTATACACACTGCATCTAATACACACACTCTGCATTCACAATACACACACCACATCTAATACACACAAACACTACGTCCACTACACAAACACACACACTCTGCATTCACTATACACACTGCATCTAATACACACACTCTGCATTCACTATACACACACCACATCTAATACACACAAACACTACATCCACTACACAAACACACACACTCCACATTCAGTATACACACACTACACCCACTGCACAAACACACACTCTGCATCTAATACACCTCATACATTACACAAATGTGCAATCTGCATACACTTTACACACGCACTCTGCATCCACTACACACTGTCTACATCCACTATACACACACCACAATCAGTACACACACTGCATCCATGCGGGTGGACTCGGGGGCCGCCCTGTGGCCCAGACCTTGAGTTTCTGATGGCAGCCCTGTCTTGTTCTGTTCATTTTTGGAACTGGTGTGCAGGTAGGCCAAGAACAGAGGAAGACCAGGGAGGAGGAGAAAGGTGTGAGCGGGTGACATCACACGTGTGTTTCTCTGGGGAGATGCTGATCACTAGCAATGTGTTTTTGTTAATATTAACTTTATAATTGGATTTCAACATTTTTTGATTGCTGATACATGGTTCCAACCAAATCATACGTTTGGTGGCAGAGATAATTGCCACAGTGTAAAGGTGTTACTATGATATTCCTGAAACATTTTGTCTACCCTGCTTACTATTGTGCTCTTTCTGTGAACAGATTTACTGAACACCAAACTCTAATCAATTGAAAACAGAATTAAAACTGATTGACCAAATTCTCCAGTTATGGCTTCTGTAGCCAAGATTTATCATTCACCCTTTCGCTATATTTCAGTGAATTAACCTCAATATTGACGCAGGGATGTCCAAAAAATGTTTCCAGGGGAAGAAATTTATTATAAGAATGAACACTGTCACTCTGTCATTTAATTCAAAAGGAAGGGCAACATTCAGGAGAAACACTTACCCACAATTACCTAATGCAGAGTCAGAACTCTATCGCAAGGATGGAAAAAAGCTGTGGATCTACTATTTGCCCATCTTAGCAGTGGTTTACTAAGGAGGGGTGGGGGGCGGTCCACCCCCGGTGC